TCGCTCATAATAGGGACTTTTACCTTACTTTAAGGATGGTGGAAATAATTCGCTTGGCTTGAAATATAATCCGTATACTAGAGACATCTGATGGTTTTTTTGTATTATTCTTGGTAGTGGGAAGTATACATATTTTCTTCAGTGAAATATTTTGGATTCTCGTGAAAGTTATAGTCTCGGAAATAGGGAAACTTCTAATAACGAATTGAAAGGAGGTGCTACTAATATCAGAGAACCTACTTTTCAGGTAGATTTCTTGAGAATTGTATAAAGATAGCTTAAATCCATTAAACGAATGTTAAAGTTCACATAATTATCTTCAGATTTAGCTTTTACTTGCCCACTTTTGATAATTTGTTTTAGTTCTTTGGTTGTTCGGTAAATGAAGAAAAAAATATAATAAAAAGAAAATTATTCTAGTATTTTGTCTTAAAATTTTTTTTTAAACATATTTTTTTCAATATTCATTCAAGAAATTTACCTATCAATATCGGATGTGGCCGAATGCCGTTTTTTTTTTTTTTTTTTCTATTGTTTTAGGTAATCATATTATATAACTGACCTATTCGAAGGAGAAGATATATATAACTCCTGAAAGTGAAACTACCTTGAGCATTTATTGTATGACTCCACCTACTTTTAATCACAAAAAATATCTCAGTCCATAGATTAGAGACATATGTCGGTTATCGTGTTAGAGAGTGGGCAGGTTCATTCTCGTTGGTGGCGTGTATCCGCCTATTGTATCAAAGATAGAGGTTATTGGTCGAACATGACATGAAGTTAGTATACTGGGGATATCTGATGATTTTTCAATGCGTGAAAGCCGATACGGGTCTCACAGTAGAAAATGTCCGGAGAAAAGATATGTTTTGATGGATGACGAATAAATATGCTGCAATTATTTTCCTGAGAATGACTTAAACATGAAATACTTTTCATATATGGATACGTTTATAAGAAGCATACAAAGTATTACTCGAAGTATGACTACGGTGAAATATATTATTATATATATATTAAATGAATATATTAAATATATTGGTAAGAAAAAATTAAAAACCATAAAGGCCGAGCTGTTATGCCATTGATTTTATTTTTTGACGATGTTGAGACGGGGAACGGATTAGGAAGCCATGCAGGCAAAAATAAATTGGGATTTACTTACATGTCAATTCCTTGCTTGCCAAAATATTATATTTCTCGGTTTAGCGACATTTTTTTAGTAAATTTATTTTATTTTGATGATCGCAAAGTGCATGGTAATGGAGCAATTTTTCAACCTGTCATTGACAAATTGAATATTTTAAAAAAAAAAGGTCTTAAAGCAGTAATAAATGGCAAAGGAGAAAAAATTTACTTTGAAGTTGGGGCTATAGTTGGCAATAATTCAGGTCTCAATAGTCTGTTTGGGCTTAATTGTTGAAAGTTTTACAAGTCTTCATTTTTGTCGTATTTGTAAAATCGATAAATCTAAGTCAAAAATATTAACAATAGAAGACCCATCTCTATTAAGGACCTGTAAAAATTATGAAACTGATTTGAACAAACAAAATCCTCAAGAAACTAGTATAACAGAAAAGTGTGTTTTTCACAAAATTAATGATTTCCATATTTGTATTGACCAAAGCGTCGACATGATGCATGATTTTTGGGAAGAAGTTGCTAATTATACACTAACGGCTATTTTAAAATATTTAATTTATGATAACAAATATTTTAAATTAAGTATTTTCAACTCATCACGTAGAGACTTGTTCGATTATGGTCACCTGGAAAGTTTAAATAAACTTTTGATTATAACTAAATAGCATAATCTAAAGAAAAAATGGCTATAATTATCAGCTTCAGAAACTTTGTGTTTTACAAGATATTTTGGATTGATAATTGGAGATCTGGTTCCGGAAAATGACCCTATTTTGCCTGCGTATCTTAAACTCAGAGAAATTGCAGACATAATAACTTCACCCAGTTCCTTGCGTAGTCATGCTAAAATTCTTGGAAAATTAATTAGGGTATTTAATTCTTTGAAGAAGGTATTAGAAGCTGGGAGGCGGAAGGGTGTCGCGATCGGCGAGAGCCGGCACCGCGGGACTATCATCCACAGACCGAGCGAGCAATGGAAAAATCGCCGAGCTGATAAGAGCGAAACCACGTATTAGCAATAATTTTTGTTCTAAAGAAAGAACAAAAATTGAATTTACCTGAAAAAAATAATTAATTAAAATATTTCGAATAAATTCGAAATATCCAATTGATTATTTTTTTAAGTCCCAGCGACCAAATAGTGTGGAAAATAATTTTTTGGAAATTAATTATTTTGTTTGAAAATTATTTTTCTAAGTCTCGACGATGAAATTGTATGAGAATGTAATTTGTTTGAAATTGATGAAATCGATGAATTGTTCGAATGAAAGATTTATTTAATTTATTGAAAAATTAAATAAAACTTAAAACTTTGGCTGCGTATATTCATCCGTCAACCGTATGAATAAATTTAATTTATTCTTCCAGTAACCGTATCAATTAAATATTTTAATTCGTCCGGAAATTAATAACTAATTAAAAATAGTCATAAAATATTTTAATATCTTTATTTAAATTTTCGCAGTGACTATTTATACCGTAAATTTATATTTTCCTTTACTAATGGACGAATTATATATTTTTATTCGTCCAGTAACCGGATTAATTACATATTTTTATTCATCCGGAAATTAAAAATTATTTTAAAAACATCGTTTTCGAATTAATTACCATGAATATTTAAGTATTTATTATGATTTATGATAAATATTTAGTGTAAGGTGAAAGATAATTTCTATACATCAGTTAGTTAATCCAACATGAGAATGAAATAACCTGGGCCAATTCTCTCATGTAATGGGCCAATTTACATGAAAGGTTTTAGTGGTTTTAGGATGGCACTCCTACTCCCTCACTAAATGGAGTGCCAGAAACTCCACTCAAATTATTTTCATTCGAAAATACAAAATATACAAAGTCATAAATATCCGAAATGAAAACTATTCGAAATTAACAATATTTAAAGTTAATTATTGTGATGATGGTGATGATGATGATGATGATGATGATGATGGTGATGATGATGGTGTGATGATGGTGATGATGATGATGATGATGATGATGGTGATGATGATGGTGTGATGATGGTGATGATGATGATGATGATGATGATGGTGATGATGATGGTGTGATGATGGTGATGATGATGATGATGATGATGATGGTGATGATGATGGTGTGATGATGGTGATGATGATGATGATGATGATGATGGTGATGATGATGGTGTGATGATGGTGATGATGATGATGATGATGATGATGGTGATGATGATGGTGTGATGATGGTGATGATGATGATGATGATGATGATGGTGATGATGATGGTGTGATGATGGTGATGATGATGATGATGATGATGATGGTGATGATGATGGTGTGATGATGGTGATGATGATGATGATGATGATGATGGTGATGATGATGGTGTGATGATGGTGATGATGATGATGATGATGATGATGGTGATGATGATGGTGTGATGATGGTGATGATGATGATGATGATGATGATGGTGATGATGATGGTGTGATGATGGTGATGATGATGATGATGATGATGATGGTGATGATGATGGTGTGATGATGGTGATGATGATGATGATGATGATGATGGTGATGATGATGGTGTGATGATGGTGATGATGATGATGATGATGATGATGGTGATGATGATGGTGTGATGATGGTGATGATGATGATGATGATGATGATGAAGTAGGTAAGGTTAATAATTCTTGATTTTTAAGTTTCTTATCTGTTAATAAATTGTTTTCTTCGTAGTTTCCGCTGCTATTACTGTTGTCGTTGTCACCGTCACCGCTACCGTCACTATCACCGTTGTCGTCACCTTCACTGCTGTCGCTGCTGCCATCACGACCCTGGGTAGTACCACCGTTATTAAGGCCATCATCAAAGCTGAAATTATTTACACCTTTATCGTTTCTTCCTTTATTATCATCACCACCACATTTACTTCTGCTGTTGTTAATGTTTTCAATTCCACTGTTGGTGCTTGTGCTGTTCCCGTTCAATCCATGAAAATTAATTACTTTGACAATCATAACTTCATCACCGTTTCTATATGCATCACATAAATCTCGTAAATTTTCCATTCGTTGCAAGTATAAGTCATTACTTTTCTCTGCAACTAAAATTGGGAGATCCTTGACTAATAGAGAAGCTTTTTTAAATTTCTCATGTTGTGAAAGAATTTTGGTCTTGAACTCAGTCGATGAAACAACATATTCTGGCATTTCCATTTCGGAATCCATCGTTTGGAAAACGCGTTGGCTCTTGAAGTAGTACTTTCTCTTTCATCGTTCAAGGCACAGACTTTCATCGTACAGATTGACTTTTTTCAATTCTCGAACAGCGAATATATGTCTATAATAATAATTAACAATTTTATGTCATAAGCAATTAATTATCATGAATATTACACTGATGAAAAACTAAACTTGATTCAAGAGAAGAAATCTTGAACCAAGAATACCATTTTCAAGAACATGATTTTTTTGAATCAAGAGGATAAATTCTTGAGCTAAGTAATCATTCTTGAGCCAAGAATTTTTTATCTTGATTCAAAAAAATCTGTTCTTTCAAAATGGTATTCTTGATTCGATTTTTTTTCTCTTGAATCAAGTTTACTTTTTTATCAGTGTAGTAATAATATGTATATAAATGTTACCGGAAAGGTAGTTGCATCGCTACATATCTGTTGCAATCACATGAAGAGATTGACGTTGAGATGCGAGTTAATCCTTCATAAGTAATAACAGATTCTTGTTGCTCTGTCGTACTGCAATCAATGTTCACAAATTTTTTTTTATTATATTCTTCATTAACAAAATGGAATGAGTGTGATGTTAGTAGTTCTAAGTATTGTTTTAGGGGGGAATCTTCTTCAAAATTGGTTATTTGAACTTTTTGATACAAATAAGCTGCTTTGTGGTCTCGTTCAGTATTTAATAAAGAGAAAAAAGTTATTAATTTTTCAATAAAATCTTCCAATGAATTATAATGATTGCATGCTTGTTTAATTTTACTATTCAAAGATTCTAATCGGTTGTTGGTTGTGTTTAAAAAATTTCCATGCATGAAACTGTTGTTCAAGGACCATTGATCACGAATCGGATGCCAATTTTCATTAAAATAGTTAACTACAGTCTCAGGCATTTCTTTTAATTCTTCATACAGAAAATCATACTCTTCTACGGTGGCAGCATAAACCATTTTTTGAAGAATAGTCTTCGCTTGGACAACCTGCTCTTGAGTAATATTTCTCTTCTCGATGGTGATTTCGCGATTGAAAATTCGTAAAGTGTGGAATGCGCAAATTATTAGGTTTGCAGACGGTAAAGCTTCTTTGACAGCATCGCGTTCGTTGATATCTTTATCGGTTATGACGCACTTTACTTCGCTCCATTTCGGATGAGCTTTTTTAAAAGAGTCCATCATCCAGTTGATTGATTCTCTATCCTCAGAAACTAGAATGCATACTCCGACAACTTCTGAATATCCATTGGAATCTTCAACTATCATCAAATAAACTGGAGCACGGATATTTAATAATTTGAAGGTAGCATCAATTCCAAGGAATTCAGGATAAGACTCCATTGAAGTTTTCATGGATTCCGTTACGAAAAACAACCCAGCAAATATGCCTTGTTTTTCGTAAAGGAACCATTGAGCTTTGAATTTCTCTTCTAGCTTCTCAAGAGTAGGAATCAATAAATTTTCTGCTCCTTTTTTCGTCTTACAGTTGTCTAAATCTTTTAACAGGATCACTTTACTCGTTTGGTTTTCCATCATATCTCTAACTTTTACTCTACTTGCACCAAGGTCCAACAATTCTGCTACTTTTTCTCTTCTATCTTTATCTAATCTTCTATTCTTTGGATAATGTCGAAAAAGGTTTACATTTGTGTCGTGGTTGTGCCTGTACTTTATCTCATTAATGACAAGACAATTTCCTTTATCGTTTATTCCGACTTTGAAATATGCGGGGCACTTTTTTTGAAATGTAAATGCTTTTCTAATTCCTTTTGACTGTGATTTAAAATTTTTTCCACCATGGACACAATAATATTTAATACTGTAGTATTTTAAACATTCATTAATATTTTTTTTTATTCCTTTTTTGCAAGCTCCGGAAATCGTCACAGAATCACGATGAAAATAAACCGCGTTATATTTTTTTTGAAATTTTTCTACATTTTCTTCTAATTTTTCAAATGAGTCAAATTTATCGCCTATTTTTAATATATCTTCATCATCTCCAGCTTCTTCATCCGAGTCACCTTCATCGGTGTTATCTTCATCCGCGTCATCTTCAACACCGTTATTTTCTTTGTCTCCATCTCTTCTTTCTTGTCCTTCATCTCCACTTCCTTCGCTTGCAATTTCTTCGTCATTAGAATTTTGATCTGCCCTGTCACAATCTATTAAAAATTATTTATTAAGAAGAAAAATTAATATTTTAAACTATAATTAAAATAAGAGCTAATCGTCCAAACAAATTTAATTTAAAAAAATATATACATATATATATCCGGAAGAATAATCATATATTATTCATCCGTATTTCTGTATAAATAGTCACTGCGTAAAACTTTTCACGAATTTCCCGAAGTTCGACGACGCGCGATAGGTGGCGATAATTCTCAAATTATTTTCGCTCCTAGTAAAAACTTTCGGATTGATAAAGCCCGAAAATTATCCGCCGTCGAACAACCTTTCTCTGTGTTTAATTACTCGACTACACGGAGAGAAAAATGTGGAAATCATTCCTATAATTATAATGAAATATTTTCCTATACCATTTTAGGAGTAATTACTTAAATTATGGGAATTATACCCATAATTTTCGGGAAACGTTACTATAATTATGGGAATGGTTCCTATAATTATAGGAACGATACCTATAATTATAACTGTAATATCGACATGATTCCCATAATATGTAGGAATGGTTCCCATAATATATAGGAATCGTTTCCATAATATTATAGGAATAATAGTTTCCATAATATTATAGGAACCATTCCTATAATATTATGGGAACCATTCCCATAATATTATAGGAATGATGCCAATAATATTGGAGTAATTTTCTTTCACACAACTGTGGTATTTAATTAATTACTTTTCACTAGATTTATTTTTTTTTGATTAAGTGATTCTTTTTTAATAATATATAAAGAATGTTGTTGTTCATGCCATTTTGGTCAGATTGACTAGTAGATATGATTCATGAAAATATCTTTACAATAATATATAAATTGATAAAAAAAGTTATCAGTAATAATATTTATTATTATTATCATTATAAAATTAATCAGTTGCAGCAGTTGATATTTTTTTAATCTTGAATGGTATACATGCTTGTAAATTAAAATAAAATTAATTAAAAAAAAAAAAATTTCTACTAGTACTTTTTTCTATTATTATGTGCGTCAATTCCCATAATATTATAGGAACCATTCCTATAATATTATAGGAACCATTCCCATAATATATTGAAGCTATTCCATTATTGTATAGGAACGTTTCCAATAAATTATGGGTATACCCATATATAGTTCCCATAATGAGTATAGGATTAATGCCTATAATGATAATTTTATTATAGGATCCATTCCCATAATTGTTGGAAAGATTTCTATAAATTTTTCTCCGTGTAGAGACTTCTGGCTGAGGAATTAGAAGAGCGTCTACTCTATACCTAGTGCGGACTACCACAGGTAAGTGAACTTTTCCACCTGCGAGTAAAGGCGACTCTCCACCTGGAGGCCTTAAGCCAAAAGGTGGTAGGCACCACAGCCGAATAGGTGGGGGTGAGGTGGATTTCATTCATTCTCCCATTGAGAATCGCGAAATAGGGCCTGCGGGGCGGCATTAGTCACCCGTCAGGAACTGGGCACCAAAGGGCCAACGGAAGGGGAATTAGCGACGCGATTTGAGAAAACGACGGGCGAATGATTTTACCGACGACGGTAAACCAAAGTGATAAACGCCGTGTATGAGTGGATTTTATTTTGATTAATCGCCGTTCTTGTAAAAAGCATAAGATTATTATTTTGTTAAATAGAATAAAGAGGTTCTGTTTTTGATTATGTCTATTAAATTTTCGAGTTTGAGTTAATTAAAATTACCTTTGTTAGGACCCTGGACTCCGGCGAGTTTAAATCGAGCCGGGGGTAAAAATTGAGTCAAAAAGTACCCGTTATAATTCATTAGTTATTGGAATAATTCTCTACCTTAGACCGAAATTTCACTTAATGACTTATTATGAACGAATTATGCTCAACAATGGACCCCTCATTCATACCTGGTCTATGAGATTCGAATCAAATAACCATGAATTGAATATGATTGTATCAAGCACAAAAGCTGCAAAAAAAATATTCTACAAACTATAGCAGTAAGAAATCAATTAAAAACTGGTCATTCGATAAATAATTTTTATATTACACAAAAAATTCTTTACGGGCCAATTGTTACTGAAGATGACGCAGATAACACATTCAATTACAACGAGATAAAATATTTTATAAATGGGTTGAAATGAATGGATGTAAGTATCAAGAAAGTACGATAATAATAGTGAAAATTGATGACGATAATGTCCTATTTTTGGTCAAATCAATAAAATTTATGTTTCAAATAATGAAATATTTTTTCAAATGTATCTTTTTAAAAATTTAGGTTTTAAACAACACTAGAATTGAATTTTGCGCGCGCAAGCGCGCGCCTGACTATAGAGTTTGCATATATTTTCATGCTTATGATATATTCGACCAATCACGTTACGAATAGTTTGATGCCACATACATTTCATCTCAATTTTATAATGGGATAGTTTAGTCACCGTCAAGTTAGTCCCATTTAATTAATCGTATATTGTGCAACAAGTGTGACCAGTTGTCGATCGTAGCGAGCGAAGCGAGTGCGGTCATTCGCTTGAGTGGGTAATCGACAACGTCGCACGAGTTGCACATACTATTTTGTATTACAAATGCGGTGATGTATGTGGGTACAAAATTGGGGTCCAGGGGCAAAGCTCCGGCGGGGCCCCCCCAGTCCCTCAAAACAAATAAAAAGTTAAAAAAAAAGAAACAAATATAAATCAGATAATAAATGCAAAGTAATTAATATTAATTAACAAAAAATAAATTTACACACTGAAACAATTAACACAAAATTAAATGACATTAAATTTAGCTGTCACTACAATTTTTTAATTTTCTTTAACAAACAAATTTGTTCCAAAAATTATTCATAAAAATTGTATTATTTATTTTGTAAAATTCCTACATATACTACATATCAATTTAAAAAAAAAATTTTTTCATGTCATTAATTTATTTTTCACCAAAATTATTAAAATTATCATATTTCTGCTAAATTAATTTTTATCACAATTAAACAGCTCAATATTAATAAATTATTTTTACTATCGTTAAAAATATTGTAATGTCAACCTCACTTCTTTAATATTGAACAGTGTCATTTATGAAAAAACTCACGCGTAATTTTAAAATGGGCAAACGGCTCTTTTTCAACCGCAACAGCGAGCGTCAAGATACTACTTTTCCCCCATGAGTAATACAAAATTACTAATACAAAATACATGAGATATAAAAATTGTATCACCGGGTGATGTAAATTTAGGTTCACCTCTGTTGACTTCACAGGTGATATAATTTTTGTATCACCTGATGAGATTTTAAAGCCACTTTTTTTTCGTGTCTCAGTTCTGAAATTAATGAGGACTGATATTAATTGAAAGCTTTAATATTCAACAGACGGATTAAGGTAACTACAGCTTACTGCTATAGTCCAGATGAACTTTTTCAAATTTATGGCAAGCCTAGTCATTACTTAAACTAAAAATTTTGGTGTTTTTGTATGCATTGAGTTTGTCAGATAATGTATCATACAACATTTTTTTCAAAGAAAACAGAAAGCTCTTTTTTTTTTATATATATTATATATATATATATATATATATATAAATAAATGACTAGGTAGTGGCTATGTATTATAAAATCAAAGCGATTCTTGATTCATTCAACTCTTCAGAAGCGAAATAAAATGAGGAGAAGTGATAGGACGACACCTAATTCGCTGTATCTCAAATAAAATCATAAGTTATACGTGATGATCACTATCACTAAGAAATGATAATAAAAAATTGGACTGTGTTACGTTCCACGAATTTCTGCCTAAATTTAATTCATAATTTTTTTCTTCTGAAGATTTATTCATATTATTTAAACGTTCTTATTTCGACCGATCAGATTCTCAGAACGCATAACAAGCGATATCTTTTGCTTCGCTGGTGGTTATACCAACAGCGAAGTAACGGAAATCTCTTGTGATAAGGCGTCTGCAGAGAGTTGCCGTGGCCGCGGATAACCAAAACATCTTGTGTCAGCATGGGACCCGGGCCTCGTCGACTCTCTCAGGAGTAACCTGAGCTACCAACATGGCTGACAATAAGATTTATAAACATTGTTCTGGAGCAGATTCAGTCAGTAGATCTCGAGACTCTCTAGTGCAGAGAGCTCTGTCTCCAGGCTTGAACCTCTCCAGATCCTATTACCAAATAAACCAACTATACCGAATACATAGTCCATTACAATTATTATGGGGCCGAGCGCTTCACGGCTGTTCTACCTCATATAAATAAATCCTTCGGTAGAAGCGCTAGTCAGCGCCTTCTCCAGCCTAACCCTCCTGCTGGGCGAATGCTTTATTGGCATTTCACCAGGTCCCAACCTCTTCGCCAACACCAAACTCCTTCATGCCTCTAGGAAGACGATCACGTCGATCAGGTCGCTCGGCACAAAAACGTCGTCGTCTCTTGGCCCAGCCGTTCTATCTGTCGTTACCGGTAATTGACGACGAAACTCAAGTTGAGCCGCGAGTGAAAGTAGTGCGGAGTACGAAGCCGGTGTTGCACATAATCGACGACGAAATACTCATCGAACCACGAGTAAGAGTAGTACGGACCGCCGAGGAGGATTCGGCCAAGTCACCGCCATACCAGCGTTCAAAAGGTCGGTCAACCTTCGTCGGCAACAACCGCCCTGCCTATTGGACGGACACCACCAGGACCTGGGAGTTGGTCCCCGTAGAGGTTCCCGAGGTTCATCCTCCAGGAGCCATCATCCCTATCGAAGACCCCCGATACGAATATTACTCTGAGGATTAAAAACGAATATAGAAACTTTGTTCGATCGTATATGTAGTTTCTGATGCAAGATGTAAAGTTAGTAATCATCATTGAAACTGCTGCTGAGAAATATGTAAATATTTGTCAATCATTTTTTCATATTTGCAATTGGAAAAGCTATAACTTCAAAAAATTCATTAACAACTAATTAACTCTTTACACATGTCTTATACATAATTGAAAACTTATTATAATTCATTGCATAAGAAACTATGACAGTCATTAATATTCTATTTACGTAGAGCTAAAAACATATATATAAATACCATGGCAGTTTATTTTGCATTCTTTGGCAAGATACATTCTTATAAGATATATCTTATTATATTGAGTTCAGACTTATCTTCTCTCTGTTATGCACTTAAAAACTATTCTTATATATTAATAGTACTCTCCACTGAAAAAAAAGTTTTTTTCCTCCTAGAAAACTTTTCCCTGTGGTTAAAAAAAAAGTATTCCTAAAATAAGAATACCAAAGTTTACTATCCATAGGAATAAGTTTACTGGATATAAAAAAACTTGGTATTCTCATTATTAAAACACTACAATCAATATGGCCGACTTAACCTCGCTTGGTCGACACGAATCTTTAGGATAGATAATTATGAGAAACTATACTTTTTATAATTCTTCATTTATAAAGAATCTATCACACTAAAATTAATAAAAATGGAAAATAGTATATTAAGCTTTTCTTTTCTTATTTTTAATTCTTATTGTTGTCAAAAAATTTCAATTTCTTGCTAATAGCATTATTTTACTAATTTACTAATAACATCACTAAGGTAAAAGACCTAGTTATTAACACTTGCAATTTTATTTTAATTAAAAAAAATAAATCAACTCTGATAATTTAATAAACATTATATTTGAATTATAAATTTTAAGATAATTGGTTTTTTGAGAACATTTTATTTTTTTAATTAGAATAAAATTGTAAGTATCAAACAACTAGGCCAGTAAAAATAACTGGGTCTTTTACCTTCCCTGGCGGATTCGTAGTCACGGTAAAATGATCGTGAAACGACGGTGAAAGCACCGTCAATTCACAGTGTAGACAAATTATCGTCGAATAACCGTCACTTGACTGTCGAACGACCGTCGTTTGACAGTGAACGATGAGTATAGCTGTGAACGATTTTCACTGTTACTTTATGATTTTTATTCTGTATAGTTATCATACTTCACTCGTCGAAAAACCAAATTTTTACTTGACTTCTCCGATTTTTTACCTAAGTAAAAATCGTAGATCATCGATCGATCGTCTGTCATTGCACGGTAGTTTGTAGATGAAATGACCGTGAAACGAGCGTATAATGTCGGTAAGTCAGGAATGTTTTACTAGTCAACGATCAAAAAGTGCTGACAATATTTTATTTTATTTTATTTCCATAAAAATACTCAAACCATAAATTATAAATTATGATCGCTATATATTTTTATATTATTATGTAATATTTTATAGTTGCCATCTGGCCTGTGCCTTGGCATTAATAAATCTAAATAATC